GGTTTTGTGCATATTCATGCATACACAATACTACAAAATCATTCCTACAGTGTAGTCGATGTCAAAGAATCTCCGCAAATTACTCCGGGCTGCTGCCGCATTCAATGGAAAATGCGGTCAAACACAGTGCTCAGCCAGCCAAACCCCAGCTAGCAGGGATTTGCACCAAACAGGGCCGTATAGTCAGACCTCGCTTATCCGGTCCTCGTTTATCCGGATCCCTCGCCATCCGGAAGAAAATCGCTGGTTACCGATGTGCAGCATATGTTATGCATGCAACACAACCGGACCTCCTGATCCGCATACCGGTGCATGATTTTGTGTACAAAGTGGCTAAAATGTGTACAAAAGCTTCGTCGTATCCGGTTGTACATGGCTAGCAGAAGCAAGAATCAGGGAGTTGTACAAGCAAATGAGGTCCTTGACATGCCACATGCATGCGGATAGCACTTAGTTGCATGCACTTGTCATTTTTCTCGCTTGTTTTACATACTGTGCACGCTAGTTGTACTGCATAGGACCTGTCTGCATGTATGTACGATGCCACTGCTTTTGACATGCCACATGCATATCCAGTATGTGTGTTCAGTTAACCGGTTCCCTCGCCTATCCGGATATTTTTTATGGAAAACAGATGTGTGCGGTTAAGCGAGGTCTGACTCTAGCAGCTGGCCCGGCCATGGTTGACCCGCCCAATCAGTGAAAAAGGGGGCTTTCGTCAATAATGTCAATTTCTGGACAAGTACTGCATGTAGTACCCCGTTTGGCCGGATCACCTGAAATGCCGGCGCTACGGCCCTGCAAAAAAAACATTAATTACTGCACTAGTACTATCCTGGTATCACAGGCATGGTGGTGGCCTGGCACAAGCGAAACTTCCTAAGCCGGTTGTGTTTCTCAACACAATTTATTGTATAGCCGGTTCACCGTTGTAACGCGGACGTGCCAAGTTTACTTTACTTGTTTTACCACATGTACCGTTGTCAAAGTAATGGTTTCAAAACGTGCAACCTCTATCATTTACAGCAAGGTTTGAAAGGATGATGAATGTACCGGTACCCTCTGAAGTCCGACGCATTGCAATCGCACTTCAAGTTCATTCATTTTCAGACAATCCATTATGTGCAGCAAGCCTGAATTCAAAAATTTGTTCAAGTCAGAAATCGAAAATATTTTTTCAGAAACTTTCTTACTTCGGGCACGATGACCTTGAGCGGTGGCAGGCCAAATTCCTCGAACTCAAACACCTTCTCCGTCCTCCGAACAGCAGCCATGTCGCCACAGAACGATACGCACCTTCATCACCAAAATTTCTTGCACGACTCTGATTCTGCTGCTTAGCCAAATCCCACTGTTTCCAATCTTTCAGGCAGATTTTGCAACATTTAGCTCGGTTTCTTCTGCTTTTTCCGAATAATAATACCGAAAAACTGAATAAACTCTGGCGCAATGAGCTCCCTTCTCACATTTTCTGAGAAGTTGTTTTGGTGAAGAAGGAGAAATGACGACTGTCCTTACTCAACTGATGTCTAGTGCTGTTTAGCTAGTATTCTGGCATGCAGCGCTGGCAAATGATGTGATACACTTGATCGCTGATGTATCTTTCTCGCCATGCTCCCGCGCACGTTCCGTGCTGGGAGTTTCAACTTCGGAGACGAAAAATGTTCTCATTGTTTGTTTGCATGTGTGCTCGGTGTTTGTTCGTTGTTGTTGTTTGGTTGAGGGTGTGTGTGTGGTGTTTGCGTGAGGCTGGTGATGACTCCATATTTCTGAAGCCTCCGTCGCTCTTGTACTGTTATCTGAGAAGTGAGATGCTCTGTTTTGGAGATCCAGTTACATCTGTCATGATTTTTGTTGATCATACATGTACATATGTACAAAATACTCAATCTATATATGAGCCGTCAGATGAGAAAACAGATAGTCCAGCGGCCCAAACTTCAAAAAAAAATTCCGTTTCAGTCTCAAGCAGACAACCTGGGTTCTTCACTACGGCCTAAAGTATGTATACCTGACCTGGATTCCGCTTGTTGTCATCTTCAGAGTTAGGGCAGAAGCTCAGGAGAAGCCAATTTCTCCGCTCTCGTCGGCGATACTGCGCACCATCTGGGGGTGCACAGTTCACGGAAAGGAGCGCCTTTTTCAAATTTTTGAAGATGACGACGACACCGACAGGATACTCTTTGAAATGTAGAATTGCATTTTTCGTTTGGTAGTTGCATAGTAGTTGCGTTTCGCGCTGTTTGAGTGCCTCCTGCCCACCGCTCACAGCATGGTAGACACCTTTTGACATGATGGAGGAAGAGGCCGTGGAGCTTCTTAGGCCTCGTCCTGGGAATGGCGTTGTATCGCGGGAATTTTGCTTGTGCCATTGCGTTCAATGCATCGCAGGAAAAGCAAACCCGATTTACTTTGCAGAGTTGGGAAACTTTGTTTGAAGCTGCTAAATGCAGGCAGGACGAGCTATACCTTCTTGTGCGAGAGCCACTGCACCGAGGAGAGCGTCCGCGGATGGTACCACCGCAAGTGCTACAGTACATACACTAACAAAACGTTGCTGGGTCGGCTGCCACTTGGACGTGGCCATGACTTTTCAAGCCATTCTGAATTGGAGGAGATACATGTATGTGATGATGGGACACCATGTACCAGCAAAGCGTAGAACAAGGAGAGATGTACAATGATTGAATCCACATCTGCAGACTTGTGCCTCATGACATGTGCATCTAGCAGAGTTGGAGAACAACGCAAGAATTTTGGCTTTCGCTCCAGAATGGCCCAGATTGCGTTGCAGCGGAAATCCACTATCAACGTCGGAGCATGCTACAGTGCCTTCACCCACCTGGCCACTATGCACCGGCAACGAAGTGGCAAAGGGAGTGACCAGCCGTCGGCCTACGAAACATTTGACAGCCTGGTGCTGTATATACAGTCCGAGTTGAAGTCTGCAAGGGCCTTGCCCATGAAGCTTCTCACGGATAAGTACAATAACTGCAAACGGCACCAGCTTGGCCGACCATCACACTCCGCCTTAGTATCCAACTTTCATGCTGAAAAAGAAGATAATGAGCTACTTGGGGACCAGGTGAGTTCTTGGCATTGTTGAATGTGTAGAAATAATTTGATCATGTTTTATTGTTTGGTCATGACCAAGGGAATCCAAATAACACATACGCTCAACTACAAGATCACATGATCGCATGTACACACCAGATCATGAGTCCAGACTCATGCACAGCAACTAAAAGCCGCTAAGTTCATTTCACGATGCGCTACTATCATGAATGTCTGGGTGGCCAAGGAATGCCACAAAGTGTATGTAGACGTGAACACTACAGTGCCTGACATCTACAACATAGGAATGTATTAAATGGAATGCAAGTGTTCATGCTCATGTAATGTGGTAGTCTTCTTTGGTTGAATTACGTTCGTGGCTGTTACACGTATTATTATGACCAGCTTGGCTCTCGCGCTACTTCACACGATACACATGTAGGTCAGAATAAATCAGGACTTGTGGTCCGAGTCAGAGTAATGTCCAAAGCTGACGTCAGTATTCTAGGCTGACTTTATGCAAGAAGAGACAGAATTATAAACTGGTTGTTTTCTAAACACAATTGTATAGCCCGTGATAACGCGGACATGCGAACTTGACTTGTTTAAGGATCGAATTTCATTGGCGTGTTTCATTTACGTTTTGTGTTTGAACTGTGTGTTTCCTTCAGCAATTGACATGTATGGTAAGTGGCATGGGTATACAGGCGCACTCTTCACGGAGCAACCACTTGTCTGTGTCGTCTGGAAACGGTCCGATGGCCGGTAATACCCAGTCATTGCCGAACAGTCATACTAGTAACGCACCTGGCCCGACCCCAACCATCCCCGTCCAGCCGGTCGCCGCAGATTTCCTGCCCGCATCCACGTCCACTCCGCACCCTAGTGTCCGGCAAGAGAACGGGCCCAATGCCAGGAGTACGACGGGCCCACTGCCAGGAATTACGATAGGCTCACTGCCAGGAGTTACGATAGGCCCGCTGCGATATCCGCTGGGCTTGTCCCCGCCTATGTCGTGTTGCCCACTCATTTCGGCTTCAAAGGATCCGCTACTCCGCCGCGTCAGGTGAACACCAGTGGATCAGTTTCATCTTTGGGTACTACATCAGCCTCCAGTACAGATGTGTCGGCTAGTACGGCTTTGACTACAACCTCGGGTGCGAGGTAACCAGTGGCGGCTGCGGTGTCTTCTACAGCGCCATCTCAACCACGGTCGCAGCAGGTTCTTGCTGATCTCTAGCGTGCTATGTGGTGTGTGAGTGTGTGCGCGCGCGGACGCGCACACACAATGCCATGTGTTGTGCGGTGTGTGTGCGTGCGTGTGGGGTTTGTGTATGTGTGTGTGCGAGCGCGCGCGCACAATGCCATGTGTTGTGCGGTGTGTGTACGCATGTGTGTGTGCGCGCGCGCGCGCATGCACACAATGCCATGATGAGGGTGAAGGCAGTTTCGACAGTGGATTGGACTGTAGCTAAGGCTGGTGGACCGCACTATTGAAGTTTTTGAATTGATTTGAATTTGAATTGTACTTTTCCACTCTGCAGCAAATGACAAATACACTACTGCGCTATTATTTACAACATCTTCCATATCGCTCGTTTGCTAAGATCAGCTTATGATCGCTATCACTCTGCCGTTTTCCGGTGTCCTTTGCTTCGCTCGTGCTAGCTCTCTTCCGCTGGTGTTGTCGAGATAGTGTCCCAATAAATGAAATCCTCTCATACGAAAGATCCATGTTTGGGGGTGTTTTGGTCAAATTTTACAACAAATCAATCTGTGCCATCTCTAATCACCATCAATAGGAAATGAACGCTCGGCAAAGGGCAACCATGATCTACAAATCATCCAAACACAAGAACAAATTCACATCGACTGCACTAATTTTCAATAAAATATCGTATCACATGTTGCCAATTTCGATCAAGGAGTCGTAAAATAACGTAAAATAACGACTTCCGTAACGAAACCTAAAATTGGTTCTCCCCAGCTTATGCCCTAGTTCTGGACATGACAACAAGCCGTTTCGACATCCCTAGAACATGGTCTTTCCACCCATGCAAAGCTCAGGTTGTCTGCTTGAGACTGAAACGGGACTTGCAAAACAACGTCTTTCAGATTTGGGCCGCAGGACTAAGACCTTATCGCAAAAACTGTACAGTGCAGAAAAGTGCACTTGAAAGTTGGCGAGTTTACCCACTGGTGCGTCTGGACAACCAAGCTACAAACCGTCGTATTTCAGTCAAATATCGGTCTTTCGGGACAATCCAAGTATGTAAATCGAAGAGAAAACTCCAAGGAATCCAATGCAGCAAGCGCGATCGCGGCACGATGCTGCGTTCCCGAGATGCGAAGCCTGCAAGATACGTCACGGCACTTTGCATTTCTACACGCGAGTCAAACGCTCCAGACCTGGGGGTTTCCCCATTTTCAAGTGATCTACGATCTCGGCAACAGGCTCAGACGTCTTGGAAGCTCTCACTGCATCTTCACGAAAAAAATTGGGCGTCCTGGGATAATGGAGATGGAAATGGCGAGCGATTTTCGTGTGACGGCGCAAGTCTAGCGCTGAAGCGATGTCTGCAGCTTGTTGCGCTGGAGCTGTGCTTTATTTGCTATCGGATTTGGGCCCAACGGGTTGCTTGTCGCCAGAGCTTTCCAGAAAGCCCAAGTTTGTGGAAATCGGTCAAAGGAAACAGAAAATATTATCCAAAGTAGGTGAAACAATTGTTGGTATTGCACCCAAAATTGAGGTGCAATTTGTAATGGTCTCCTACTGTCGAGGCTATAACTTTGCTTTCCCTGGTCCAAATCAACTCTAGTTTTCTGCATACGATTCCTGGTGCTCCTGGCAATCAGATAGTACCACAAACAAAAATATGACTTTTTTGTGATAAGGTCTGTTTTCTCATCTGACGGCTCATATTTTTTATTTGCGATTCCCGATCACTGCACTGGTACATAGTACGGTGATATGCATGAATTCATGATGCATTAATTTTTCCTTCTTAAAGTTCTAGAAATGTAAAAATTTAATTATCATTTAATTACTAGTATGTTCAATCAATCAATCAATCAATCAATGTTGATACACGTCCATGCCTGGTACCCCTACACCAACGAGCTCCCCCCTCCACACACACGGCTTTTTCGGCTTTTACACACGACAGCATCACCAGGGAGTCGTACTCCCTCTCTCTCTCCCCCCCCCCCCCCCCCAAAGGATTTTGGTACAACTCCCTAATTAATGGTCGGTCATGTATGGGGGTTTTTCTTTTCCTTCTTCTCTCTCTTTGTTTACCATGGCGACCCCGTGTGCTGTACTACTTTTTTCTCTTTTACGTTTACTTTATACCATGCATATCAGGCGTGGGTCATCCCCTGTACTGTACATAGGTGCCATCATTTTTCTTTGTTTCAATAAAATTACAAGAGTAAAAAAAAAAGAGTCTTGTATGGGAGACAAGGCTCTCTCTTATTGACCATTGGGCATGCTCCCCGCCACATGGTGAGAATGAGAGAGCTAGTGCAGGAGGACCCTTGGCTACGCTCGATCATCATGATGGTGTTGCTGAGCTCGCTCACGTGATCAGTCATATGTGACGTCAGTCGGTCACGCGATGACGGGCCACAAGCACGCACACTACTACCCCTGGTTATGTACTCTTAATCTTGGTACTACTACTACTATGACACAGCTACCCAAACGGGTCACGCCGCTCTCCACCCAAGCACGCCATGGGCACTAGTCTCCGAGGGACAGTGGCACACACCCATATACACGTGCATCAGAGTTCGGGACGCCGGCTACCGCGATACGCGGCTATTCGTAACGTCTTCTGCGTGGCTACGGGAATACGATCTATAACAATAGCACTAACACCAATGGCATGATACAGTAAAATCTGGTTTAAGCGACCACACCAGACCACACCAGACCACACCAGACCACACCAGGGTGCAAGCAAAAGCGGCCGACCACCCCAAGGTGCAAGCAAAAGCGGCCGACCACCCCAAGGTGCAAGCAAAAGCGGTCGTTAAACTTTAGAACCAGGTCCCACAGTGTCTGTGTAGAACTGTCGGTGCATGGAAAAACGGTCGTTAAGAGCAGGTGGTCGCTAAACCCAGAGGTCGCTTACACCAGGTTTTATAAGTGTAGTTCGGAGAACCAAGTGTGATCTCCAAAAGCCGGTTGATAACATTACCGTATGTCGGAAGCCGATTTTAAGCCGTTATTAGTGTGGAACGCCACGAATGATAAAATAAATAATACTAGTGTGCTCTACAGGACAGCATTTAAATTTGAAATCCTAAAAGAAATAATATAAAAATACAAGTCCACGACTCTTGTACTAGTGTAACGTTAGTGGAGAGAGAACCAGGTAACCATGGTGACCTGGACCAGATACCGGTATTACACATTAGGGAGAGAGATGGGGGAGGGGGGGGGGGGGGGGGGGAGTTATGTGCAATAAACTAATAACTACCGGTACCATTAATACTATTCTAGGTTACTGGTAAGAAGAGGTTACTCTACTACTCACAGTTATTCTGTGAAAACCCAGCATAGCAGGGAATGAACAAGAAGCAGTAGTACATGTATGAAGAATAAATAGACTAGGCGTTGAGAGAGGAGATGATGGGCTTCCGGATTGGAAAATACACCGCCTGTTCCAGATGTGCACGCTTAAAAAATAAAATAAAAAAGGTCCTAGCTGGGAGTGAACAAAACCGGCAGTATCCACAAAGCCATCGTGTCATGACAAGATAGACCAGTCCAGGATCGGCTAGCCGGCTATGACCGTCCGGATACTAGCACTAGAACTAGTGTTTGCTCGCCTAGTCTAAGGCGGTCTAAGGCGGTCAAAGACGGTCTAAGAGAACCTTGCTTGCACACTCTCATCACGGTAGTAACAGTACATGTGCCCCGGGGGTCAGCACGGTGCTCATGACAATATGGTGCCTGCAGTACATGTGCCCCGGGGTCAGCACGGTGCTCATGACAATATGGTGCCTGCAGTACATGTGCCCCGGGGTCAGCACGGTGCTCATGACAATATGGTGCCTGCAGTACATGTGCCCCGGGGTCAGCACGGTGCTCATGACAATATGGTGCCTGCAGTACAATGCAGCAGAGTACTGGTGATGTCCGCTGGCATCACACAGCCAAGTACTAGCACTAGCACAGCGCAGGTAGCTTGTAGCTTATGTACAATACATGACTGTGTGTGTGTGTGTGTGTGTGTGTGTGTGTGTGTGTGTGTGTGTGTGTGTGTGTGTGTGTGTGTGTGTGTGTGTGTGTGTGTGTGCATGCGTGTGAGGCCACGTACACACAGCACAAGAGCATCGAGATTCCCATCACATCATTACTCGATAAACGTGCGTTCCCACTGTTCACATCAGTTGATGTGAGGAGTAACTTGCCATCAACTGCTGCCATCTGGGCATATCTGCAGAGCTGAGAAGCTGCTGGAAAGCCATGAATGACACTAGGCACCTGCATCAGCGACGCTGTCATTGGTGGAACTGATGACATCACGGTAGCACTGTTGTGACATCGTGGAGAGATTGCGATGATGTCATCATTCAATAAGTGACACTACAGGGTGCTGGTGTTGCGACGCTGTCATGGCAAGACTGTGGCAACACCAACGATGACATCACCATCACCACACGCTGGAACACACATTACGTCATCACGAACTACACATGAACTACGCAAAGGCAGCTCCTTACGAACACATCCTCGAGAACGTGGCGATCATCTCTGATTCAGATTTTTCTCGGTCATTTTCAAGCTGGGCGGGAGCAGAGCCACACCGTTCTGCAGGTGTGAGCACACTCACATACTGCTCAGTTACAGCAATAAGGACGTCTACGGTTATCACTACTACTGGAAGCGATGTCTGGTTGTCGGTAGGTTGGTGGGTGGGTGCTGGTGAAAGCAGGCGTATTTATTCGTCGCCACACGCCACACGCAACCGCAAACACACGGCGAAGCGATTCAGGCTGCCATGCAACTCGGATACGAGTGAATGACTAACAACAGAGCATGGTGTGGCATAGCGTTAGTTTCCTCGTTAGCCATCCTTCGTCGACAGTCTACGCACAAATAGATGTTGGCTGGGTAGCCAGGGCAGGAGAAGCAAGTAGGAGAGAGCACTCTACTGAACTGCTCACGATTGTCGTGCCATTAAACTCACACGCACGTACGACGGGAAAGGGTGGTCAACGGTTGTCATCACTATTGGTGCTGGCTTCGTCACTATCACCGTCACCACCGACATCATAGCTGCTACTACTGCTGTTGCTGCTGTGTGGAGTGGCGCCATTGCTTGCCTGCTGTTGTTCCTGAAGCTGCTGCTGCTGTTCTTGCTCCTCTCTCATCCTGGCCAGTGCTTCCTTGCTGTGATGTATCTGTGCACCGTGTTCTAACTGTATGTTACACAGAGCGCGCAGTGGACGTACCAGATCCTACAAACATACATACACACAGGGACAAACACACGTACACATACACATGTACACACACATACACACACACATACACACATACAGACGTACACATACACACACACGTACACACGTACACACACGTACACACATACACACGTACACACACACGTACATACACACACACACACACGTACACACACACACGTACACACACACACACACACGTACACACACACGGAAAAAGAAGAAATATTGTCACTGAGCTATGGGATGAAAGTGATTTACAAGAAAGAGAGAAATGTCGAGGAAAATAGGGTTGTGTGTGTGTGTGTGTGTGTGTGTGTGTGTGTGTGTGTGTGTGTGTGTGTGTGTGTGTGTGTGTGTGTGAGAGAGAGAGAGAGAGAGAGAGAGAGAGAGAGAGAGAGAGAGAGAGAGAGAGAGAGAGAGAGAGAGAGAGAGGGTGTGTGTGAGAGAGAGAGGTAAATACTTGCCAGATTACAGAGCAGAAAAAGAAACAAGAGAGTGGGTACTGCTACAGAGCAAGGAGAGTGAATCTCGAGCAGGGGCATACTCCTGAAAAGTACATACCCCCCCCCTCTCACATATGCGCACATGTGCGTGCACAAACACACACGGACGTGCACACACCACACACACACACACACACACACACACATGGAGACCTACCTCAAACAGCTGTGGTTTGTTTTCCAGTATGGACAGAGCCAGAGCAGCGGACTCTAGTGTGGAGAGTGCAGTGTCGGTGGGCTGTGTACGTATGATGTACGCACTCGTCTGGGTGGATGATAGCGACACCTACAGTACACAAACAACAGCAGCAGAAACAAAAACAGCAACAGCAGAAGCAGCAGCAGCAACAGCAGCAGCAGCATAGCACAATATCATGCCTTGTGTTAAGAGATCATCTATGCTTAAAGACCAGTGGACAAAGACCAGTAAGCAGAGCAAGTCCCGATACGCATTCAAACATGTGTTGCAAGAGTGTGTGTGTGTGTGTGTGTGTGTGTGTGTGTGTGTGTGTGTGTGTGTGTGTGTGTGTGTGTGTGTGTGTGTGTGTGTGTGTGTGTGTGTGTGTGTGTGTGTGTGTGTGTGTGTGTGTGTGTGTGTGTGTGTCTACCAGTGCACAGGCCTACAAGTAAGCAGGTCATCTCACAGCAAGACGTAGTAATAACATGTGCACCTCAACTAACACTAAACACACACAGGGGATATGTACAATGGCTGGAGGTACTACTCCGCCTGAGCTATGTCCATAGCCATTGTTACTGCAGCCAACGATCCGCTTAGGATATGACGACATTGGTAGCAACGACCGATCATGAACACGAACAATAAAGGGAAAATGATGTCCGAAGCACATGCCATCAAGCATGCCAAGGTCGGCTATAGTGACATGTCACCATATGTTGGCATTGCAACTGGGAGATCATATCCAGGTGTTGATACTCATAGAGTCAAAAATAACTACGGTATGAAAAAGGCTCAACAAGAAAGCTAGTACTTACCGCTGGGATGTTGCGGAGTCTTTCGTTCTGCACGTAGAGACCCTTTGCTTGTTTCCATGTTCCATCCAGGACAATGAGAGTGCGTGGGGGTGAGGTGGGTGCTGCGGCTAGCGAGATGTCTATTGCTACAAAAGGGGGGGGGGAAGAGAGAGAGAGAGAGAGAGAGAGAGAGAGAGAGAGAGAGAGAGAGAGAGAGAGAGAGAGAGAGACACACACACACACACACACAGACAGACACACAGACAGAGACGATATTAGTCGCCCACTGTCGAAGGCAATGGCAGTCACAGCAGAAGCCGCCAATGCAGCATTTTCCGGGGTTCACCCAATCTTCAGCTGCAAAGACTGAAGGATAGACGATTGATAATTAGCCCAGCATATCACAGAGTTCACACGTTCTGAAAAGAGTTCTGAAAAGAAAAGAACGAAAGGAGGTAATACGGTTAGTCTTCTGTACCTTGCTTAGCAGGATAGAGAACAAGGGTATCAGGTTGCTGTAGAGCCAAGTCCACTGCCTCGAATCTAATGCAAACAAAAACGTACACACATTATTATTGTTATACCCTCAATGAGATTAGTATATTTAATTATTTTGAAACACGCACGCACGCACACACACACGTGTGGACATGCATGAGAGATCTTCACGGATATCTAGTGTACTCTCAAACCGAGTTTTGAATGCACAAACCTATCCAGCGCTGGAAAGAACTCAGGCAGTGTGGCATGCGTACACACTCGGCAGAGCACAGACATCTTAAAACATCAAATACCTGGGTTTATCAGCCCAAAGTCACTGAAGTCTTTCAGAAACTTTAAAAACCCAGCCTAAAATACAAACTTCATTCCTAGCGGATGCTATTAAATGGCATCGGGGGAAATCCCTGTCGACTATTAAAATAATTCACGGTTTGCGCAACACTCGGCTAGAGACCGAGCTTTCCGCATACGTAGGAACACCACCACCCTCAAGGACCAAGACTATTGACTATAAAACCTCGCCAAAATTTAAAAAAAAATCTATCTACACGTACTGTACCTCTACTAAATCTGCGGACAGAACTGTTTCGTCCTTTGTGGACTCGTCAACGCAGCACAAAGAAAATGAGGCCGAACCTGCACCTCTCCACTGTAATCATCTGTAGCGTACTGGCACCACAGATCAGCCAGGCAGCCCCCCCCACGCGCGCGCGCGCGCGCGCGCGCGCGCGAATAGAAATTAGGGAGGTTTAGTCCCACGTAATCCGTGGGTACTTTACGTGTGTGTACCACGTGATACTCAGTGACCCACGTACAGACGTTTTCTGATTCACGACATACCGTGTATGGAGGCTCACCCACGTTCCGCCAGAACGTGGGTGAAAATCAGAATGGAGCGCATTTTGCGAGCTGTGAGGGTGCTCAGCTGAAGAAATTTCCGAAGCACGAAATCAAAATATTCGATGAGCTTCTTAGGCCCGGGTAGCTTCGTCTTTGACCAGGTTTGGGCCTTTCGCTTCAGGCTTTTGTTTGTTCCGTGTGACTAAACACAACATCGCAACGTGGATGCCCTTCATCCACTTTACGTGGATCACCCACGTACGCGTTTCCGTGACGTGGGAACTAAACCTCCCTAATGGCAAAAGATGCAACATAGAGAAAAGAAAAGAAGAAAAAAAAGTTGGGCCTGTCCGGGATTTGAACCCGGGACCTCTCGCACCCAAAGCGAGAATCATACCCCTAGACCAACAGGCCAGATATTCATGAAGGTCGGCAACGGTGTTCATGAAGAAAGAGATCACGCAGTGAGAGAGTCCGTTGACAACCCCGGCCGGTGGAAGACTCTCCACACAAGCACGCTGCTTCTTTAGGGCCGATTCCCACTACGGTACCGTGAGTGCCGTGCCGCCGATTTGGGTGGGTCACGTGTACCCCACGGTACATGCATGAAGCTGTGAGTGATTTACACTGACACTGGGTTCCGTGCATCCCGTGCATTCCGCAGGCTGGTTCAACAATCAGCTTTGATTTTCGATTGATTTTCGATTTTTTGTGACTGGAAGAGTTGTTGTTTCGATGCGTTCAGCATGGTCAGTCAGAACAAACTTTCGTGTGGTCAACTTCTGGGCCTTCCATTGGCTATCCCTTCCAGCATCCAGCCCTGTAGACGTGCCAAGACTGTGGTGGATGATGATGATAATGAACCTGCCAAGAAAAGGCTTCAGGATGTCTGCAGTATGTCTCCACTATACTCACCTTTGCTGGCTCCGATTGTATTTGAAAAAATTGAAGAATTGCCTTTGCCAAGACGATTCTGGAGCTTGAATAGAGATGATGCTGGTGGATTTTGGGAGCACCAAGTACAAGGCTCATGGAAGCAGTGTGAAGTGGAGGACGAAAAGTATGTTTCAAAGTATCGTGTACCTCAGTTTGTGCTCAATCAGCTCTACCGCAAATATGGAGCAGACTTTGAGAAGCAGGAGACCCAATTTCGGACCCCAATTCCTGGCAAAAAGCGATTTGCAATCACATTGCATTGGCTGGCTGATGGTGGATCATATGAGGAAATAGCTGACATGTATCGTGTTGGCCATTCTACTGTTTGTCAAATTGTACACGAAGGAGTTGGCATTCTTGTCACGCAGTTGGTTCCTGCTGTCATTGTGTTTCCTGAAGGAGATGAGTTAGTGCGCGTTATGGACGACTTTGAGTCACTCTGCTATTTGCCTCAGTGCTGTGGAGCTGTCAATGGCACCTTCATGAAGGTCATTAAGCCTGTCCATTTTGGTGATGCTTACCACTGTTATAAAGGCTACCCGGCGATTCTCCTCCTTGGGTGCGTCGATGCCCGTGGCATCTTTGTGAACGTCAATGCAGGCCGCCCAGGGTCAGTGGGAGATGCATTCACATTCAACCGTTCTGAACTCCGTGCTCGCTTGTTATCTGGCCAATGGGGCAACTCGCCTCCACGGAATATATCAGGGCAGATGATTTATTCCTACCTTGTTGGCGATGCAGCTTTCGCCTTGACAGACAAGCTGATGAAGTGTTATGATGGTCACAACTTCACACAGCAGCAAAAGTGCTTCAACTACTGTGTGATTCGCACGCGTCGAGTCGTTGAGCAAGCCTTCGGTCGCTTGAAGGGACGATGGCACATTATGTCAGACAGTTTTATTCGTGATCCTGACTTTGCTACTGATATAGCATTGGTTTGTTGTGCTCTTCACAATGTCTGCGAGAGAGCAGCATGTCCTTACGAAGACAGCTGGGTCCCGCGTGATGCCGTTGCTGCAGCCGTTGGTGATGGTGGTGGCAATGATAATGCCCCTGCTCTTGTTGTTCGCAATGCCTTGAGTGAATATGTTTCAGATCTTGTGTAAAATAGTTTCAAGTAGAGCATATGGGTCACTTGATTCTCCAATGTTTGGAACAGTGTTAACTACCCCTGACTCAAAGATACCGCCTATCATTTAGCACTATGCGGCTTTTGCTCTTGATTTGACATTTTAGCTCTCCAAGGCCATACTTTATTTATGCACTAAATTATAATGCCTTGTTTCGTTTCCATTGCTTGTTTCGATTGGTACTTGTCTTGGTGATTCTGGCATTGCTGTCACACATGCACAACATGGCATTTTCAGTAGCGCACAAAAAACCCTCTCCCAGGAACTCACACTGAAACCATCACAGGAATGTGCAGATGCCAACAGTCCACCAAAGGGTAGAACATGGATTAAAAACATCAAAGATAACAGTGCAGAAAAACCAATGCAATTGCAGCAATGTGCAGATACCCCAAACACAGAGCAGAGCATGGACGAAAACACATCAAATATAATAGAAAAACGTCAAAGATAACAGTGCAGAATATTGAGCAAAACATCAAAGTGCAGATAACACCACAAGTAGACCAGTCTAGAGGCTGCAGAAAAGTGCAGAAAAACCAATGCAATTACATCAACGAGCAGATGCCAGAGCACATCGAGCAAAACACATCAAATATATATATTTTATATAGCAAAAAACATCAAAGTGAAGAGAATGCATAAACACTGTAGGACAGAACAGAGCCTGCAGAAATGTGCAGGAAAATGAAGATTATTACTTGTCTTTGTTGAATAAATCATACCTGAACTTCATATTTGCCTGCGTGAGCTGCTGTAAATGCTCACGATTGGTTCGTGCCATGTCAGTCTGGTGAACCTCTCCCTGCCTTTGCAGGTTCGACTCGAATGAGTACCGCTGCTCGTCGCGTCTCTCCACCCAGTCTTGGTGGTTCCGAGTTTGAGCAGCCTCGAACTCGTGTTGTCGCCGTTGCAGTTCCTGCTGTGACGCAGCTGCCATATCCATGCACTGTTGGAGCTTGGCTTTGCCACGGTCAGCACGACTTAACTTCTTGGGCCGCTCATCATCATCATCATCGGATTCCAACGAAGCATGTCGACGGGTTACCTGTTGAAGCACAGGGGTCGCTGGCTGTGTTGGTGTTGCAACCTCTGTTCCCCCTTCTGCTGCTGCTGCTACTGCTGCTGCTGCCGCTGGCGCCGCTGCTGCTGCTGGTGTTGTTGCTGCTGCTGTTGTGGCTGCTGGTGCTTCGGCCATAGGAGGTGCAGGAGGTGGTGTTGCCCGTGCTGCTGTTTCTACCAACATGAATTGAGGGTGCTCAATGCTGGTAGTGGTAGTAGTACTGGACGCTGCTACAACTGTGTTGGCACTATCCTTGCTGCGTCCAACTCCCCAAGAAGGGTGGTTGCCAAATACCCGGTGGAACGTATCAAAGTTTTCCCAAGTACGAGTAGCTCCAGCCATGTCCAGCACCTCGGATCCCGTGCCCGTCAGTTTCCGAAACTGGTCGTATATTGTCCTGCCCTTCTTCTTCAGACTATCGATCTTATTCCCCAACTCCTTCTGAGTGAAAACTCTCTCAACGCCGATATCTCTAGCATATGTGTTGCGGTCCACGAGCGCCTTTTGTTCTTTGTCATTCCTCGTCACCATCTTCTTGTCCGTGGACCTCAACATCTCAGCCCAAATCTCCAGCAACTTCTGCTCCAACTCTGGGGGGGGGGGGGGGGGGGGGGAAAGACGCCGGCATGACTGAGGCAAGTGAAAAAGACGACGGAAAGCAACAACTGGAACAGCAACTTGTTCACCAAAACAGGAAATGAAACAAGGCAGAGGCAGAAAGAAGAACTCGGTTCGACTTTTATTTCAAATTTCAAGGCTACACGTGGCTGCGCAAGGCTGCACGTGCACCAGTGTGCACATGCACGTGCACATTCATGCACGGAATGCCACGGCATGTCGTTTCCACCCCCCCCCCCCCCCCCTTCGGTCCTCGGCACCGGAATGACCCCGGCAGGAGTCACGGAATGGACTCGCGCCAAAAATGCCCCTCACGTGAGCTAATTACCATGGATACTCACGGCACGGCACTCACGGTACCGTAGTGGGAATCGGCCCTTAGAGTGCACCACCCACCTCACAGCCCAAATCACCGCCAGCGGATCTGAGTTATTGGAGAGCATTCAGCTGGACCAGGCAACCAAGTTGGCAATGCGGATTCGGCACCGCGCAGCACTGGAAGCAACAGCCGCCCGCATCCAAGACTGCCTACAGCAGCCGTAGCAACGAGCAACACCTTGGTACGTGAGAAGGGCGGGTCCAGTACCCTGACCACCGTCCCTATGGCTGAGCACGGCTTCAGCTTTGATGCGAAAGCCGACCATCACGACCACATCAGGCTCTCGTACTGTTGACCACTGGATAGCTTGCCAGCATCCTGTCCCTGTGGTGCAAGGTTCTCTGTTGACCATGCACAGATCTGCAAGCTGTCAGGGTTCATCCACATGAGCCACAATGACCCTACCGACTTAATCGCACCATGTATGAAAGAGCCACATCATGATCCAACATTACAGCCCCTAACCACCGCCCTTCACCATCGGTCAGCCAACACTGCGACGTCTGCGCCAACCTGCGGGTGAAGGGAGTCTGGACCGATAGCCGCAAAGCATTCTTCGACACAAGGGTATTTATCCCCAGGTGTCAAGATATCGTGCATGTCCCTCCCGTCACTCTACCGAAGGTTCGAAGTCGAGAAGAAGCATGTTTACGGTGAACGTGTCAATGAAGTCGAGCATGACTCCTTCACACCGTTGGTGCTCCCTTCCTGTGGTGGAATTGGGCCAGAAGCGGTCGTGACCACCAAGAGGAGCGTTGCCTATAGCCGAGTTGTGTCTCGGTTGCGGTGCTGCCTGGCATTCTCACTCGCTGACTGAGATATTGTAAGCAAAGACTCCGAACCGGAATGAAAAAAGAAGGAGAAATACATGGCATGCCGCGAGCCACTTCACGGTTTTGGCACGGGAGTGGGGGGTCAAAGGGAGCAAACAAATGAAAACATACAGAGGAGGAAAGATACTCGACGTACCGGCCGACTGGAAATCTCTTGGAGCGTACGACCTTGACACAGCCCTCAGCCAGACACGCCTCCAAGATCGGCACCGTGCGAAGGCCACGAATCTCCTGTCCTCATACAACACACACACACACACACACACACACACACACACACACACACACACACCACCCAACAAGACAACAGACAAAGCAAGAACGGAAAACAACAGCAGCAACAACAGCAGCAGCAGCAACACCAGCAACAGCAGCAGCAACAACACCAGCAACAGCAGCAGCAGCGGCAGCAACAGCAGCAACAACAGCAGCAGCAGCAGCAGCAGCAGCAGCAGCAGTAGAAGCGACAGCAGCGGCAGCAGCAGCAAGGACAATTGTCAGCACAGGGGCATACGTAATAACCAACCCAGCTGGTTCAGTCTTTGGCCGGACAACCACTTTTTTTATTACTTTTCCCACGTTTACTCACCTGGCAGCCATGAGAAGTGAAAGTAATGAAACAGCACAAACTGCATCTGCTACACCTTGGTGCCATTTCACCCTCACCGCTACACTCTGCATCGACCACACTTTGGTATAACCAGGCATGATTTGCTTGGCACCAGCGAAACGTCCTAAGCTGGTTGAGTTTCTCAATACAACTAAACAGCCGGTGGTAACGCGGATGTTCGAACTTTACCGGGTTTTTTTTAATTACCGTAAAGTCTTGTATAAAAGCCGCACTTGAATAGAAGCCGCAATTTTGGGCCCATCAAATCACACATAAGCCTGGTTTTAGTGTTGACATACATAGAAATACCTGTCTTGTATAGAAGCCTGCAAAATTTCACCAAGAAAGTCATATACAAGACTTTACGGCATGTTATTTTATTTTACAAAAAACGATGTGAAGAGGTATCAGCACACTGCAGTGAAGTGTATGCAGTACTATGCACAGTTGTACAGCTATGCTAGAGTGAAGTCCAACGCAAAGCGGATATCATACGCCCGCACTTGCACTGCCTTGGACGCCCCCCCCCCCCCCCCGCGAAAGTGATACAAGCGCCGCTGAACGTACACAGGTACTAGACAACTGTGGCACAATAGTTGTGTTGCTTGATAGTTCTGTGCTGTCGTCATCATCATGACAAACACAGTGATGTATGGACCCATTGTGCATTGCCAAATATGGAAGGTATGAGTAATGCATGTGAGTACGCTGGGATCAGCAATGCAATGTTCAACACCCACAGACGACCATGCCAAGGTGGCTGTGTGGGGTGTTGGCGGTAAAAATTGCGTCATTGCGCAATGGGTCCATTGTGAACTGGTCAGGGGCACCAGCATTGCATTTCGGGTTGGATTTTACCCATAGTATAGCAGTAGGTTACTGGCCAGACTATCTTCAGCCAGTCACCATGGTCACGTTGGTTCTAGAAGTACAGTTGCGCTCGGTGAAATCCAACCCAAAGTGCAAAGCTGGCACCCTGGACTAGTTCCGATTACATCATTGCATGTGTACATGTGTACGTCCAGCCGCATTCGTACCACTTCCAGGGGGTCGAGGGCCGTGCAAGTTGATGGCGCCAGATATTCACTCTGTGTCGGATTTCACTGAGCGAAGCTGTAGCCGTGCTGTGCGCTATTTGTCGAAAGTCGTGGTACAATGTAACATTGATACACAGGCAACACAGCATGAAGATTGCCATAGCGGAAACTGTCCGCGAAGACATACGACTTCCTATTCAAGAAACGGATGGGCCGGTGTAGTGAACGGAACGCCAATCCCTATTCAAGTAATGTAGCTACAATTGTCAACTTTCTGGCGTCACTGTACAAAGATGGTTATCACTACCGCTCTATCAATAACTACAGACCAGCAATATCTTCCGTCCATGAGAAAACCGATGGATATGACATCGGTCAACACACACCATTGACTCGGTTACTAAAAGGAGTGCTCTGGTTAGCGTTAGGGAAGTTAGGCATTCCCAAAGTGCTCGTCAACGTTATCCAATCCTTTCATGAGAGCATGCAGGCAGCTGTGCGCGTCGGTACAAACACCACCGAGTCTTTTGATGTCAACAATGGACTCCGCCAAGGCTAGAGTGGGTGGTTTGCCATAGAAAACATCACCTCAGTACCTGATGGTTACTAGTATCTGACCCATGCCTGCCAGTACTGCCTGTACTGCCAATCCCTAATAAAGCATAGCGGAATTGACCATGTCACAATCAGTGTTAAGACATGAGGTCCTACAGTTGTGCAGATCACGGTGAAAGCTGATCATATCCGTTCTGCCGCTGTACGATCTCCCAGAACTGGGCACAAAGGGTGTGCACCTGTGCCAGGGACGACAGGTTCACATTGCTCACAGATGCAAGCGCATGGAGTGCAGACCAGATGAGAAGTGTTTTTAGGTACCTCCTCAGAATGCAGTCGTTGTAGTTCGTCTGTCTCTCCGTCTATAATAAATGTCTTTCGACCTACCCGTTCCCGTGTCCGTTGTGTCCGGGAGGATAACACCTTCTCGTTACTCAACAGAAGAAAAACCCGGCTATTCGACTAGCTTGGGCTGTCATTATTAATTGGTTAGACTCCTGGACATCTACGTAAAACTCTCCTCCTCCATGCGCTCTAAAGCCGACCATTGCTAGCCTCGGTAGCCAATACTCACACCAACAATAATCCTGGACATCTGGATGGAAATCTAAACCAGTCCATAGAAACACTGTTCCCACACGAAGCCAAATGGCAAACCAATCAAGTTCTTTGGTAATGAGGCCTTTCACCAACATTGACCGGTTGCACGTCTACTGTCACTCAAACAAGACCGATGGATGCAACATGTGCCTAACAGATACGCCGTTGATCGTCAACAACTCCAATAGCCCCAATGAGCAGCGTCTTCAATACAGATCCAGCTAGAGCTTGAAGTAGATGAAAAGTCGAAGCTGCGATGGTCACGAGATGAACGCTAGAAATCATGCCCTGCACTTTGCATTCCTTCCCCGGATACCATCAATGGTAGCATATTCTCGAAAGTCTGCATCTGTAAGCTCACTGCAGCATGCCTCAGTGGCATGTCGAGACGAAGAGGACAGTATTATACTCGCTTTCTTTTTCTTCTGTTTGTGTTTAGCGCTTCAATAAAGTAAGTCCACCTCCAGCAAACGCGCTCTCTGGCCGACCTCACACACCAGCAACATAACTCCAAGTTGTAGGTACTGACAAAATAGTGTGTGAGGTCGGCCAGAGAGAGCGTTTGGTGGAGGTGGAATGACTTTATTGATAATGATAAACAAAAGAAAAGCTGCTGCTTACCCTTTGTGTTCAGCACTTGACTGGTTATTATTTTCCTTCTCTTTATTTTCCACTGCATATTTTCCACTGCATATTTTTTTCTGGTTTTAGAGTTTGTACCGATTGTCATCGTGCTAACTGCATAATATTCGCGACGGATTAATGTTCGCCATTTTCGCGAGAGGAGCGTAACGCGAATATTAACCAGCGTGAAATCAACCTTCGACAGTGGGTGTATGTAGGTGGCTCCAGTGCTTCGCAAACTTTTGCCTTCGCAAACTCGCTGGTTCTAAGAAATCGCGAAAATTTAGTGACGTGAACATTGGGGTTTTACAGTATAATGTAAAAGCAGACATTTTCGGTGGTGTTTTATTTTCGGTAACTTCGGTGCCGACAATTTTTACCGAAAATAAAACGCACCGAAAATTTCGGTACAACCGATACTGTATACAGGTAGTACTAGTACGCTTACCTGGAAAACGGGTTTTACCGAAAATTTCCCTCCACCGAACCGCCGATTTTGAAGAATACCGAAAATAGTACACCACCGAAAATTTCTGCTTTTACAGTACTTTTTCGTTTCGCCCATACAAGAGGCTTCAACACTGACCAGCCCGGAAGAAATATATACCGGTACTCGCCGAAGACCGGTGTGGTGCTGACCAGTGCCTTGAGGCGTGTTGTACGGTTGCCTCTTCATTCGGTCCCTGTGCTAACACAGCGAAAGCAAAGCTACCCATAGCAGTAGTACGGTAGCAGGCAGTCAAGTCAACGCCACGTCAGCCAGAGGCCGATATGACCGTCAATGATGACACCGCGAGGCACGTTCCGTCTTTTGTTTACCTGAGGTTCGTTGTGACGCCTGATTCTCTACTGATGTCAGACGCCGGGCAACTGAAGCTTGCATGGCATTTGGAGTTCCCCTTCCAGTCTCACTAGTGTCTGATCATTCTGTGTTGATTGCCAGTAAGAGAAAGCATGTGCAGTGTTGCTCAATGAAATCCAGTCACTCAAGTACACGCCGGGCGTTGCGCAGCCCTAGACCTGCGAACACTGGGCTGCGGAATGATGCAAGGCGCTAACTTGAGTAACACGACTGGATTTCATTCAGCAGTACGGTACATTCACGTAACACGCGCGCACGCGCACGCACACACACACACACACACACACACATGCACACACACACGCACACACACGCACACACACGCACACACACACAGAGCGTAGTCACTCACCTCGCGCGGATGCTGCAAGACGAGTACCTTGGTGTCGCAACGGTGCCGCTTCTCTGGCAAGTGTGCACAGATACAGACGGTCTGAGGTCGACTGGACACACACACACATACACATACACAAACGGGGGCACACACACACACACACACACACACATGCACGCGCACACACACACACACACACACACACACACACACACACACACACACACACACAAGCAATGAGCTACAGAACCATACTCGGGAAAAGTGCCGTGATTTTTCCATACAACTGTGACACACGCACACTACAATATACATTGCTACATGTTACTTGTACTTCCCTTGATGAGAATTCACGAAAATCCATTTCTAAAATATTTCTTGAGTTCTCGAGTCTTGATGACCGTCATCAGACGGTGGTAACGAGTTTAAATTTTGTACTTTTTCTTGCAGTGATAAGCTTTCGGTCTCCAGGAAATCATTTCTTTAACATTTTCACCACCGCGGTCTTTCATTGCAATTGCAATAAACTTTACAACTACATATTGCGAGAGAGCTTTCGGCCATACTCTGACGGGTTGGTATTCCAATAAACTTTGAATAAAGTAATGTCCAAATTGTTCACCCATGCCATGCATGGGTCTTCATCAAGGAGTATAGGGTGGGTAGAGATGACTGATTGGCTGCAGTGGAGCCTCCGAGTATTGAGGACGTCAAACAATGGTACGTGCATGCTGCGCTTGTTCTCGTCAATAAATACTGACACCAAATTCGAAAATTATCATTATTTTATTCACTCACATGCAGCGTCGGCACACAACGCGTCGCTCCTCCAGAGGCTCGGTCAGCTCGTCCGAGAAGTCGCCGAAGTCATTCAGCAGTACCGGATGGAGACGAGTAGCCCCGTCACTACCCTCGCAGCAAGTCTCCGACGAGGCCATCACGCCGGACAATGGCACAAACTTACTTGACTCTGAAAATGACTTCAAACTTCAAAAGACTCAAAAGCATTTTCAAAAAGACGTCAATCAGCTCAGTTTTCTCGATCGTTTGCACGAGTCGTCAGGACAACAAGAGTTTTTTTACGCAAATATCGCTTGCATCAGCATGACGTAACTCACAATCATATCCAACGTGTCGATGTCGTCATGCTGGGCCGCGATGGCGCGATCGCGAATCGTTTTTATTCCAAATCAACAACAAAAAGCAAAAATGAATGTACATGTACATGATATGAATTAAATGCATGTGTACGTGTGTCATTGTGTATGCAAGACTTGAACACCCAATTTCCTAAAAAGAAGAACGGAAAAGAGAAGAAGAGAGAATCCACTAATGAACTCTTCCCCAGTTTTTCCCCTTTTTCTCTGTATCATTTTGTATGTTAAGCGCAGTTTAGCGCGTATTGGCTTATGATTTCTTTTTCTTCTGTTTGTATTTAGCGCTTGACCGGTTATTATTTTCCTTCTCTTTATTTTGCGCTACATAATTTTTCTGGTAATAATCGCATAATTCTGAAAGATGAAGATAATGTCAAAGGAAAAAACAAAACAGTTTCCTCTGAGACAAAAATGCGATAATACTCATAAAAAGGACACACTTCAGGCTCATTACAAACATCTTGAAAGTTTTTGTCTTCACAAGTATACTTTCAAGCCTTCTCATCAGGTGAAATACAGGCAAGAGAAAAGGAACAGGAACAGTGGATTAAATACAGTAAGAAGGTGGTAAAACAGCGCAAAAAGAAAGAAAGAAAGAAAGAAGATAGCTAAAGTAAACAGCGAAAATTGCAATAATGACACAAAGGTGCAAATGCGAGAAAACTCAATAAGCGCGACATGTAGTGCGACAACAAGAGACAACCACTGGAACATACATGTAACTAACGAGGTTTTGACGACCTACCTAACAGCCTAAGTGTGAATTTGATTTGTTTCTGTTTGCAAAGGTTGGGTTTCCTTGTGTGGATGTATACAGCTTCCAAAACATTCAGCAATCTAGCACTGCGTACACGTGACACAATCGAAAAACAATCATCCGAATACACAGCACGACAATCAGGATGCTCAAACAAATGACTAGCAATGGACGACTCATACTTATCAGAACTAACATCAGAACAATCAGCATGTGCGGTGGACACATCCGATTTCACATGGCTAGTCGAGTGGACCCTAGCCGTTGCCTCTGTCTGTGCTTTAGTCGCTGCCATCGCCGCCGTTGCCGATCTTGTTATTCTTCTGGTTGATGTGGTTCCTGTCACTGCCACGCACGTAGGTGTCTTGTCCGGTTGTTTTTCTGGTGGTCTAGTTAATTGTGAGGTGACGTTCCTTGGTGTTGATGCCGCTGCGTTGGACCATCTTGTACCAGGATGATTCTTTGCTGGACGTCCCCTCCGTGGTCGAGTGGATCGTGCGTGTTGTGGAATAAGGTGTAGCGGTGCGTGTTGTCGGATGCGTGCGTCCAGATGTTGAAGAGTCCTACCTACATATCGGCTCTCACATTGCCGACACTCGAAGTGATAAATCAACTTTTGAAACCCAACCTTTGCAAACAGAAACAAATCAAATTCACACTTAGGCTGTTAGGTAGGTCGTCAAAACCTCGTTAGTTACATGTATGTTCCAGTGGTTGTCTCTTGTTGTCGCACTACATGTCGCGCTTATTGAGTTTTCTCGCATTTGCACCTTTGTGTCATTATTGCAATTTTCGCTGTTTACTTTAGCTATCTTCTTTCTTTCTTTCTTTCTTTTTGCGCTGTTTTACCACCTTCTTACTGTATTTAATCCACTGTTCCTGTTCCTTTTCTCTTGCCTGTATTTCACCTGATGAGAAGGCTTGAAAGTATACTTGTGAAGACAAAAACTTTCAAGATGTTTGTAATGAGCCTGAAGTGTGTCCTTTTTATGAGTATTATCGAAAAAACAAAAACAAAAATAAACAAAAAACGAATGAACTCTTCCACACTAAAAATGCTAGGGAGACCGGCACGCAGCACACACAGTGCACAGTGGACCGTCGTCCGGCCACCAGTGGCATGGCAGCATTTGAGTACACCGTGATGATGGCTTGACTGGGCGTGAGGTCGAGCAGCTGCTACATATATATATGAGCCGCAATCAGCGAAAACGACCCTTAGAGGTTTCGTAATTTTTTCAAGAAAAAGGTCGATTTGTGACGTTCAACGATTTTTTGATCGCACTGCAAACAGCGCGACGAGTTCTTCTTGATCTCCTTGCTTGAATTTATTTGAAGTTAGTTGAAGTGGTGTCGAGTGGCGACTCGAGTGTTCCTTGATCTTGTTGCGATGGCTGCGGACGCCAGAGCTGTTCGCAGAGCACACGCGGCAGTCATTGTGTACAGCTAGCTCGAGCCTGGTGGGGAGTGGATGCTGAAGTAGCCGCTGAAGTTCAGAGTGAGGATGAGACGTTATTTGGTTCCGACATCGATGTCGATAGCGAGGCGGAATCGCAGCCGTCATCTCCTGCTGCGTTGCGGCTCAAGGTGGTCGATGACTCGTCAGAGTCGGAAGATGAGGAGTCATCACCTGAGATAAATTCTGAGTCTGGGGCTAGTGACGGCAGCGACGTCGTGTCGTCAGCTGCGCAGGACGAAATGGAAGGCATTGCGGAACGACTCCACGCAGGATGCAGCTGCAAATAAGTCGATCATGTCTCCGCACTCTTCCGCTATTCTTTGTCATTCTAGCTGCTTACTGCACTATTTCAAAGGTATTCAAGCTGCCTACCCACCTTAGAATGCTGAATATTTATTGTAAACATACATCGTATACATACATTGCACCAATTTGGAGTACATATTGTATATTGGTGTATACACCCGTTTTGAATCGGAATATTGAACTTTTTCTTGGCTGAGGTCCTTCAGTAGATGTGTTTCAACAAATTTCTAACCAAAAAGGAATTTTGAAAAATTTGACCCTAAGGGCTGTTTTCGCTGGTTGAGGCCCATATAGGGTGAGTGCTACAGCGCTGAGGCATTTTGATTTGTGTTGAGTTTTGTTGTTGGGAATTGATATGTGGGCACTGATGATTACGCCTCGCACACATACACAAGTAGGGTACGGTACACCGTAGGAGGGCATAGGCCGGGAAGGATATGGCCGACAGCAAGAGTACATAACCCCCCAGAGGGCGCAAGTTCACTTATCAGATCTGGGACGGCGAAATCCGTGTTCCACGTCATAATAATGACATCATGAGTAGGGGAAGTCACACCGCGTCGATGGAATGAGGCAAGTCCGACCCAAAAAACGACGTACATCACGGATTACGCCGTCCCACAACCCCATCCCAGTTGCGCACTCTGGCCCGTGGGGGTTATGTAGTCTTGCCGACAGGCAGGGAGTAGTACAATTGTACTACTCCCTGCCGACAGGTACAGTGCATGCAGCTAGCTACATGTAGGGAGACGTGCACAGAACACCTGGCCAGCTGGCCCTGTCTGGTTGGGCGGCGCACAACGTCATCGTTGGATATGCTTCGGAGATACCACATGAAATCAGTGCTTGCGCAATGCACCTGCCTGACTCCATACAATACACATCCAACGCGATGACGTACATGTACATGTACTCACACAACCTCTACACGACTGCGGTGGTACCAATGATCCAGAAACTCACAACAGACCCGCACAGCATACCCGGCACATGGTAACAGTGCCTTCACAATAATACATGCCACTCCATACAAGACACATCGAATGACAACCTCTACACGACTGCAGTGGTATCAATGATCCAGACACTCAACACTCAACAGACCCGCAAACCATACCCGGCACATGGTAGCAGTGCCCTCACAATAATACAATACATGCCACTCCAGACTGCGGATCCCTCGAATATTATTATTAAATTTTATTATTACTCCATACTGAAAGACACATTTTTTTAGAACACGGAGGCTCCACTGCAGCCAATTCATTGTCTCTTAATTTGCTGGGCAAAAGTCCTATATATAGGATTTGAAGATGCGTGACCTTTATGCCGTTGTTATTGGTCATCGCGAGTCATTCATGACCCATAATAAGAGCATAATGGTTTTATTAGAAGCTGTAAATATGTTTGAGGCATGAATGTTTACTTTTTAGATTCATAGGACATCATGAATACCCATTTTGAGCAAGGATTGGAATTTTGAGCAGCATTGTTCAGCTGGTGTCATGGGAAGGACTAAAGCAGTGAATGTGCAAAAGAACATTACAGGTGTGGCACGGGGTGGTTTCATGACGACATATCGCACATGCCGTCGTGAAACTACCAATTTTAAGGATAAAACAAGGTCCAGTAAAATCTCAAATCCTATATATAGGATTCGAAAAACAGGGCACAGGCCTTAGAAATATTGCGCAAGGAGATGAGCCTTAGATGTTAGTATTTGAAAAAAAATATCTTATTCAACTCTCCATATCGACTAAGACCTAACGCGGAAGAATTGGTCACATACGTTTCCCTATGCTCATGCCACACCCATTTTGAGTTGAAAAATATGACCAAAATCCTATATATAGGATTTAGCAAATTAAGAGATAATCAGTCACCAGCACTACACAAAGGTCGTTACATCCAGCGACAACCTCTACACGACAGTGCTCACATCCATTCAGAAACTCAACACACACCACAGCACCTCACAGCACGGCACAGATGTAGAGGTTTCAAGCACAGACCAAAATGAATGCATTCTAAAGTTAAAATTGAACCGAAAACATGGCAGAAACCAGACCAGCGGAGAAATCATCTCTGAAACGACACAGACCAGCTGCAGAGTATAGTAAAAAAAAACAGAATAACTTGAAAATATGAAATGGACAACAATAAGTGACGAGTGACGGGTGACGAAGTCCAAACAAATCAGTTGTCAGACATTGATAAAGGGGCAGAGATACACGTAGAATAGCGATTTAAGAAAAAAAATGGTAGAAACATGGCAGTAAGATAAAAAGGGCACTGGCAAACTCATTCGTTTGCAAGTGGTGGAATCAAACAGAGTTTGGATAGCATTGACCTGGATCTGTAACCGACGTGGCAGCAAATAACAATCGATGCAGCAGGAAACATCGACACATTGGCAGGGACAAACGGGGGGGGGGGGGGGAATGTGTGTGTGTGTGTGTGTGTGTGTGTGTGTGTGTGTGTGTGTGTGTGTGTGTGTGTGTGTGTGTGTGTGTGTGTGTGTGCATGCATGCGTGTGTGCATCGAGCCAGGGTGCAAAGCAGAAACGTGTCTGGCTAGAGCTAGTGCAGACACACAGAGAGAAATGAAAGCATATACAGCTACAAGACTACACCGTCATTCACCCATGCAAAACACCACTGTATGAGACCAAGAGGCTAAGTTACCGCACAACATGCAGGAGGCCCGGCAGCCCAATTAAGCAGGGCAAAATCACAAATAGCGACGGCAGGGCCAGTACTCATACTAAGTTAGGTGGTGGAATTCATTCCAAGTCTTGTCTGGGCAAACCACTGGAGCGATCACGATCAAAAGTAAGAAATGAATAATATAATTATATAAAAAAATATAGCAGGAGAGTCCTCACCAAGCTCAAGCGGAAATGAAGACTGGATCACTCCAACCCTCACGACTCTCACTGCGACTTCCACTCAAACTCTCACTCCGGGAGAGCACATTCACTGGTCTGAGCAACTAACCTGCTACACAACACTGCAGCCAAAGCCGGAGCCCGGAGAGTACACGATAGTTCACAGACCACGGCATGCGGTGGTGTTCGGAGGACAGCTCGGCGTGGAGGGCACACATTTATCTCCGGGTGTGGAGCTGGAAAGAGGACACCAGCACATCTCAACTTTCTCAAGTGTCCGTAGTGCGATCAGATAGCGCCAGTGTCCTGCAGAAACTGTCCCATGTGACTGTCCAGCAGACTGGTGACAAGGTCAGTGAAGCCGAGTTCCTTGGCCAGCTGGTAGGTAACGCGAGGGTCTGCCACGTGCTCCAGCAGCTCGCGCATGTTAGCCGCGTACTGCTGGCGTTGGCCGGGCGACCAGCCTAGCGACGGCACCTGGGTGTCACGACGATACCTGCCATGGGAATACACAGAGGAGCGCAGCATGGTAAACATAAAACATGGACACACAGTATGGGAACACACAACACGAACACACAGTGTAGAATGGGAAACACACACAACATGGAAACACAACAGGGTTAGACCAACACCAGGAAAATATCTTCAACCCCATCATAAGTCCGGCACATGGCCAGCTCTACTTATCTACAGAGTCCCGCCAACGTGCGGGTCTATCCCAAAACTAAGACCGTGCACTGCCAGTACGGGTGCCAATGTGCCACTATGTCACGATAAAACCAAAGTCACGGTCACGCACGAGAAAGCATGTCAGTTGAAATGTGAGAGGCCATCGGCAGTGGGGGCGGCAGCAGTGGTTCTAGCAACAGCAGTAGCGGTGGTGGTAGCAGCACAAGCAGCAGCAATGGCAACAATGGCAGCGGAGCACCACCACCGCCACCTCCAGTGGTGGTTATCAGGAAAAATGAAGAGAATAATCTAAAATCATCACTGCTGCTGATGCTACCACCACTTACACACCACGTGGCGGCAGCAGCGGCAGCAGCAGTGGTGGTGGTAGTAGCAATGACAGAGAGTCAGAGACATTACGCGTAGCCATCTTACCTGGCAGCAACCTCCCTAACCAGAGATGTAGCCATGGGAAGTGTTGTTGTCAAGTCTTGCATGTAGCGGAATTTACCGCGCTGTATCACCTGTACATAGACTGGCCTGACCCACTCCAGTAGTCCACGAGAACGATACGCCTCAGCTACAAGCCATGCCTGCAACACGGACACACACACAGACACCCACACACATCAGAACTAGAGTGACGTTTCGCACCTTTCTCACCTCTCCGCGCGCTCTTTCTACTCAACTCAAAGCTAGTTCTTAGTTTTTCACTTTCTTTCGGTTTTTCATCTTGGACGGTATGATTGGTATTTTCTACGTTCCGGTGTTCCTTGTGTGAGTAGGGGCTGGGTTTGGTTGGCATGTCTTTAGCTTAGTTGGTGTGCTCCAAAACAGCCACACTAGTACTTGCATTCATACGGCACAACAAAAACCCAGACGACTCTACTGGCTGAAAGGAAAATGCCCAGAAAACTGAACAGATCAGGCTGCAGAACAAACAAGTATGCACATGCACACACACACACACACACACACACACACACACACACACACAGCCACAGCTACAGCCACAAGAACGTACAGCAACATCAGTGCCGATGTACCAGCACATATTGCAACGTTAAATCATACCTCGTTGAAGTTGCCATGTTCCTCCATAAACGCTCTCAACTCCTTGGGCTGAAGGTTAATGACACGGGTACCACTGGGGAGGAGACGACGTTGCAACGATGCAAGACGGGCCTTCTGCATGCACCGCTGGGCGTGGCGAAGACAGTTCCTCTGCAATAACAACAGCAGCAGCAGCAACACCACCACCACCAGCAGCAGCAACACGAGCAGTATCAGCATCATCATCAGCAGCAGCAGCAGCGGCATCAGCAGCAGCAGTATCAGCAGCAGCAGTATCAGCAGCAGCATCAGCAGCAGCAGCAGTATCAGCAGCAGCAGCAGCAGCAGCAGCAGCAGAGGAAACAGTACAGCACACTCCGTTTAGAACATGATTTCTGGGCTGAAAGTTAAATTCTACTTGTAAAATGTTACGAGACTTTAACTTGGCACCAAAGCCTGGCTTTAGTGTTCCCACCCATAGAAACACCTGGCTCAAAGAACCCTAACCCTGATGGGCTTATACAGGAACATCGGCCTTTTGTTAAGCGACAAAGTGTAGAACCGTGAAGTATGGATAAGTGAACTGTGGATAAGCAACAGTACAATAAACAGTACGATAGTTGGGAGCAGTGGAGAGTGGGGAGCAGTGGGGAGTGGGGAGCAGTGAACTTTCCTGTGGATAAGCAATGTCCAGTGTATATGGTACATACACACAACGGTGACAGACCTGTAGCACTACGACTCTAGACTCGGACCTTGGGCACAGAATTTAATACATCTCATGAAATCGCATCAGCAACTTTTATTTCCCTTTTCTATATTCGTCATGCAGGTGACTTTGGCGTGCTCGATTGGCTAACAGCATCGACGTCAGGGCGGGATAGAGCGTCGGCGACAGTATTTTCCGAGCCTTTCCAGGCGCGTCGGAACGACTTTGGAGGTGGGGCGGCCATGTGGGGGTCCTCCCCCGGGAAAAAAATTCCAAGCCAATTGCAAGCATTTCCGGGCATTTGGTGCCATTTCAGTGTACGGTAACTACAATGAAAGACTTTTTGATTCTGCAAAAAACCAAGAAGATGCTACGATCGGGGACAAACATTACCCTCCCCCGGGAAAAAAATTCAACAATTGAAGCCAATTGCAAGCATTCCCAGGCATTTGGTGCCATTTCAGTGGACATGGACTTTTGATTCTGCAACAAACCACGATCGGGGACATAACAAGGATTTGCCACGTTTGCGCTGAGATCATCGCGCTTTGTTGCAGTGTGCTAAAAAAAAAAAAAAAAACGGCCGAAAAAGTGGGGCGGCCATGGCCGCCCTGGCCGGTGCGGTTCCGACGCCCTTGCTTTCACATAGAGAATGTCAGTCGTAAACTCGGCAATGTACGTTAGCTGACGTAGCTCACGAGGTGAATGACGTGAAGAGGACAGATTAATGGCAAATGTCAGCGGCTTGTGGTCTGTCAGGATACGGAACGAACGACCCTCCAAATGATGCCGAAAATGCCGGATTGCGAGGTAGATACTCAGCAGCTGACGACCGAAGGTGTGATAGCGACACTGTGTGGGGCTCAGCTTCTTGGAGAAGAAAGCAATCGCACACTGTTGATTTCACCGCTCTTGCCACTACCCAAGAGACTGATGCTGAGTTGGCTACCTACATGTCGAGGCCCGACTCATCACTCCAGCTCCAGCGCCTTCCAGTGCCCGGCAGTCCCTCTCTGCTGGTCTGTGATGTGTCTACCGGTGTAGCTCGCCCATTTGTGCCGCAGAAATTTCACCATGATATGTTTCTGTCTATTCACAGTCTCAGTCAGCCTGGTGGTCGTGCAACCCGTCGGCTAGTTTCTGCTCGCTTTGTTTGGCCATCTATGCAGAAGGATATTGCCACTTGGACCAAGGCCTGCGACTCGTGCCAGCGCTTAAGTCCAGCGTCATGCCCACTCTGCTGTTGGTAGCTTTCCTGTGCCGGATCAGCGTTTCGATTCCATCCACATTGATCTCTTTGGTCCTCTTCCTCCATGCAACGGCAATCGTTATCTCTTGACGTGCATTGATCGATTCACCTGGTGGCCTGAGGCGTTTCCAATCCCCGATGCCACTACATCCACTGTTGCGTCTGCCCTAGTGTCTGGTTGGATTGCCCGATTTGGTGTACCCTCTTCTCTCGTCACAGATTGTGGTGCTCAATTTGAGTCAGCCCTCTGGAATAATTTGATGAAGCTACTGGGATGCCAGCGTAAGCGCACCACTGCCTACCATCCCCAGTGCAATGGTTTAATTGAGCGATTCCATCGGCATGTCGAGTCATCACTGCGGACTCTCTCTCTGACTCCACCCACTGGCTGGAAGCGGTACCGCTTATTCTGCTCAGCATCCGGACATCGACCAAGGCTGATAGCAACTGTTCACCGTCCGAGCCGGTTTACAGTACAACGCTGCGCCTTCCTGGTGAATTCTTCTCTTCTAGTTCCCTGACTCCTGCCAGCGACCGCTGTGATTATGCATCTTGTCTGTCTACCTTCCTCCGGCAGATCCGTCCTCTTCCTGTCCGTACTAGCATGAATCCTGTATATCTACCCTGCGATTCGGACACAGCCGCTAAAGTGTATTCGCGCCGTGACGCAGTTCGGCTACCACCCCAACCGCCGTATGATGGCCCGTTCCCCGTGGTCAAGCGCAGTCCCTAGTACTTCACTCCGCGTATCAATGGTAAGGACTAGACTGTCTCTGTTGATCGTGTTAAGCCTGCGCACTTGCTTGATTGACTTGCTGCGCTGCGCATCATCCGCTTTCTGCTATTCCATACTGTACTTCTTTCCTGTAATTTTTGATTTATTATCGTTCGCTGGATTGTTCCCGCACTCGTTCTCTGGGTGTGGAATCTTGTAGCAGTACGACTCTAGACTCAGACCTTAGGTACAACATTTTAATACGTATCATCAAGAGTACATAACCCCAAGAGTGTGCTGTGCAACTCCAGCTATGGGGTCTGCGACGCGTCGACGGCAGAACTTCACATCACGTGATGAACCCGTACACATTATTTGCACTCTGTGCATGATAGATACAGGGTTGTACGCAGCCCAGCTTTGGGTACAACTCTCTTGTGGTCACTTTGCACTGTTTGCCAGCATAACCTTTTGAACCATGTCACGTGATGTGAAGTTCTGCCGTCGCAGCACAGCATAGAGGTTGTGCAGGCAGTTGCACACTCTTGGGGGTTATGTACTCTTGGTATCATGAAATCGCATCAGAAACTTTCATTTCCCTTTTCTATATTCGTCATGGTTGTACATTTGGTTTGCATGACCTCGTTTGCATGACTTGTACACATTTCCCGTACGGTAGAGTTTATTTAAGCACCCCCGTATTTGTATACGTCTCCCAGGTTCAGTGTATCTGCTCACATACGTCCCTGTGCGGACCGTACCGTATCCACGAATTTCCATAAACGCATTTGTCTCTCCGCATCGCTTTTTCCTTCTCTCTCTTTCTCTTTCTTTTTGCTCTTTCCCTTTGCATTCATACTGTTTGGTAACACTTTTCTTGCCCCTCAATTAATAATACAGTGCAAATCTATCGAGCACGCCTCAATTAATTAATAATACAGTGGAAATCTATCGAGCACGCCAAAGACCCACCTTCATGTAGTTCTCGGCTGCCCCCACAAAGAGACGAATGACACCTTCAAGAGGCGCTGACATAGTGTTGTCTGTAAATTGGAATAACAGAAAGCAACATAGCAACATACAATGAGAGCAGTAACAACAACACTAATGAAGATAAGAGTAATGACACCAAGAACAACTATAACTACAGCAGCAGAAGTAGCAACAGCAACAGCAACAGCAGCAGAAGTAGCAGCAGCAGCAGCAACAGCAGCAGCAGTATCAGCGGCAACAGCAGTGGCAGCAGCACAATACACGAGTGTCCATATCAATGACACACATGAGAACATACCGAGAAGGAGCTGTAGAGCCCCTGCCCCTCTCACCCTCCCCTGCCCCTTCTCATCCCCTCTAACACCACCAACTATCCATCTCTGCACCACTGCCCATTACATGCCAAATAGTGCAACGCCAAAGACGTACCAATAGCGTGGGTCTTCAGAGACTTGAGTTCCTTCTCTCCTTGGCGTTCAAATACCTCGGCCAGCTCTCTCCACATGGCGTAGTGAGCGGCGACCTTGCTGAACAGTTCACTGTCATCCGGACAGTTCTTACGCAGGAAATCCAACAACACAACCTTCAGCTCATCCTCCTGGACAAGAACAGAAAGAAAAAAATATTTAGAATCCTATAGGACGCATCATGCAGCTTCATAAATAAAAGTGGGTTTTTGAGCACACTGGCTCACACTCAATTACTGCATTTCACCAATTTATTTCAGGAAAAGTTCACTTTTAATAAAGAAAAAAGACCAAACAAACAAAATGTGTCCACTACAACACAATCAGGATACACATGTTACTGTTCAGCAGTCAGAAAAAAAAGAAAAAGTTTTCGGTGGAGAGCAAAACGAGAGCAAATACCCAGACCAGAATGCAAGCAGTGAAGCAATAACAGTTAGTATTGCAATTGTTTGGTCCATTCCACCACAATGGCGGGGGGGGGGGGGCATCGCGAGGGGCCAAACTCGTCTCGAAACAAAATAAAACCTGGCTCACATGTGCAGCCAGCTCCGGTGTAGATTATTCATAGGACATACCTTGCTGGCCTCTCGTCTCAGCAACAAGTCCAGTTTCTCATGCTCCACTAGGGACTCAAACACGAACAGCATCTCCCGATAGCGGCCAACACCAGTCAACATGTGAATCTGTTCATGGCCATATGTGCACATGAACGTTCCACGCATACACGCACGCACGTACACACACACACACACACACACACACACACACACACACACACACACACACACACACACACACACACGCGCGCGCACGCACGCACGCACACATAGACACACACACGCACATGAGAACGTCATGAATACACCCGTGAATGTGGTTAATATAATTGCAATGCCTCGAGGCCTAGTGGAACGACCGTCCAATGTGAAGAGAGTGAGTGCCAGCCAACCATGTCAGATAAGCTTACGTGGACATGCATAAACCTTGATGCTACAAGCGGGTCTGGACACTGCACAGTTCACTAGGAAGGGGTCACACTTCTTCAGCACACACACAGTCATACTCACACTCCTGCCCAGCGCTGAAGTGATGATAGCGAACAAGCTAAGTTAGACATAGAAAATTGTGCTGGGATTACACCATTCAACAGCTTGCAAGGCCGATGAATTGACCGCCCCTAACTTTAGCCTGGTCTACACCACACAGCTGGTTGAAGTGGCTTTTTTCTGGCCAATGAATCCCTAATGTTTCATTTTCTTCAGTACACACACACACATGCACATTGCCCATCCCGGGTATAACTTACCATCTGTTGGAATTGCCCGGCAGCAGCCAGCACAGGCACTCGTAATCTACACGTACGCACTATAGTACCAATACCTGTACAGGACAAGCAATAACAGTGGTGGTGACGCATAGTGACAGTAACCATGACGATGGCAAGAGAAATAATAAAGATGACAGCAAGCACGAGAGCTGTCCGCGCGCAAATCATCAATGTGTAACACGCCAAGGAGACAGTGCCGTATGTCCACGAATAGAAGTCCCACCTTTTCACAACAAACCCCAAGTGTCGAGGACGGCCACTGACAGTTTCTCCCAATAGTGACAGACCTCAGTCAGTATGTGAATCTATGCATGACCATACGCATATGCACGTTGCCCCTCCCCCCCCCCCCCCCCCTTAAAAGGTGAACCAGCTTCTCCACGGCAACCCATTACTCTAAAAACAAGGTGGTGCATGTGTTGCTAGTCACTTACCCTCCATGTCACATGCATTGGTGAAGCATGTGTGTGCGTGTATCAGCAAGTCAACCTCCATTGCCAGAGCTGAAGCCAGAATGCACACAAACAAACACACAAACAAAAACAAATGCACACACACACACACACACACACACACACACACACACACACACACACACACACACACACACACACACACACACACACACACACACACACACACACACACACACACACACACACACACACACAGCACTCTGTTGATTTAAAACGAAGAAATGCGTCGAATCATTTCATTGTCTTTACTTATCTTTACACCACTCTGTATTTGCTATAGTCAACGTGTTTCTCACAACCAAACTAGCGTACACCCATGCATGCCTTCTGCTGTCGGGGTGATTAGAACACTTGAACAACCGGTAGTCTTGTTCTGGGTTGTAGAGACACGACCTACGCAGGGATTTCACTCTACTCAACTTAGCCTTGACAATTACAGTTGCTTGAAGAATGGTTTGTTGAACAGCAGGCTGCTTGGTTAAACAGTAATCTGAGCTACACCTACCGAACAGGACTGTCCAAACCTCACTAACAGGACTGATATACATGTATCTGACTGAAAGGACTGGTAAAACCTTATCGACCAGACTGGACAAAGTCAACAAGTCATCCACTCCCGTTCACACACCACACACTACGCACAATGTGAAACTACCCACTAAGCATAATACACAGAGCACAGAGCAACTCTTTCTAAATGCTTAACCAACTTACTGGCTTGACTGACGTCAGCAGCGGAGGCAGCCGCCGACGTGGCCGCTTGCATCAGGTGCGTGGCCAGCAGCACGTGATTCTGACAGAGCGAGGCAACCTGCGTAAACTGAGCAGTGCTTGGTCTCTGCGGCAGCGCAGGTGCCAAGCTGTGTGGTAACGCTGAACAACAGCAACAAACAAAATCATAGAGAGAGAAATAGCCTACAATACCATGCCAGTGCTGAACAACAACACAAAGACTAAGAGAGAAGAGAGAGAGAGAGAGAGAGAGAGAGAGAGAGAGAGAGAGAGAGAGAGAGAGAGAGAGAGAGAGAGAGAGAGAGAGAGAGAGAGAGAGAGAGAGAGAGAGAGAGAGAGAGAGAGAGAGAGAGAGAGAGAGAGAGAGAGAGAGAGAGAGAGAGAGAGAGAGAGAGAGAGAGAGAGAGAGAGAGAGAGAGAAGAGAGAGAGAGAGAGAGAGAGAGAGAGAAAGAGAGTGAAAGAGAGTGAGAGAGTGAGAGAGTGAGAGAGAGAGAGAGAGAGAGAGAGAGAGTGAAAGAGAGTGAGTGGGCGAATGAGTGAGAGAGTGTGTGTGTGGGGGGGGGGGACTTACGTAGTCCGTAGGCATTGCGAATAGCATTGATCACAGAGTCACCCAGGAATCCAATAACCTATCAGAAGTACCACATGTGCCCACACACAAGCACATGCAAGCAAGCACACACGCACAAATAAAAGTAAATTTCACGGCAATTTCTACGCGAGATTCAGGCAGACTGGGTTTTCCGCATTTGCGAGGATGGCATCACTCCCAAGGATCAAGGCGTAGATCCAGCACGAACAAATCAGAAATCACACAGGCGCAAATCCAAACATGGTGCACACCAAGCATGAAAAGTGGTGTGCGCAAAATGCAGCCAACAATCTCATATTAGTGAGGTTCTGTTCTACGTAAAACATAGAGAAATCACGTAGAAAACAGAAAACACAAAAATAGCCCAAACACAAAACAAAAAGAAAGTGCCCCCTGTGAGGATCGAACTCACGACCTTCAGATTATGAGACTGACGCGCTGCCTACTGCGCTAAGGAGGCATCTGATTAACACCACAGAACCGTGGTATTTTGGACAGGTGTTACACAGCAGGTTTGGCAAGGTCACCAACCCCAAATCGAGAAATGTACCAGGACGCACACGTACACAGCAACATTTAGGCTGCGTTCGTTTTTAGCTACCTGGTAGAGTAGAGTAGAGTCATTCTATCAAGAGTCCATAACCCCAAGAGTGTGCAACTCTGTACATGGGGATCCGCGCGGCGGAATTCCAACATTAGAGAGGTTCCGCACTACGTAAAGTTGAGTAACTTTACGTTAGTGGGCGGGAAAAACCCGTGAATTCGCGAGTTTGCACTCCACTTACGGAAAGTTGTCTACGTAGAGTACGTAGATAGGGCTCTGATAACGTAGCTGGTCCGTAAGTGGATTATTATTATTATTATTATTTGAGGGATTCCCCAAAGGCCGCAGCCTAAATCAAGGGGGTCTCCGAGAATAAATATACGTGTACAATACGTGTACAAAAGGGTTCAATTTTTAAAAGGAAGAAAATATTAAGATAAAAAAGGTTAATGTGAAAAGGTTGGGGTACAAATTTATGACTCTCTCCCCAGGTCGATCTGGTCGTACACTGCCGCGTTCGGAGTTGCCAAGGGCAGCTATGTGATTTGAAACTCCGTATGGCGGAACCCAGATGCGCATGCAGTTTCCGTAAGACTTTCCTTAGATCGACTACGTTGTTTACTAACGTAATTACGTTATGCGGAACCTCTCTAATACGTCAAAAATGGCGTACACGTTCGTTGCGCTTGTACTACTCCCTGGTTCCACGGCTAATCCAAGCACCGCGGAATGCGGAATTTTGTCCTCTGAGCCTCAGCGGCATGACGTAATGTTGGAATTCCGCCACGCAGTGGGCCTACAGCAGCCAGACCCCAGTTGCACACTCTTGGGGTTATGGACTCTTGATTCTACCGATAGAGGTAGAAGGTAGAGGTAAGTGTACGGACACTGTCCTACCGGATTTAGTAGTTTTTAAATGTTTCTCTTCTACATGGAGTTGTGTACAAGTACAACTCCTTGATCTTGCTGGAAATCCCGTATCTCTACCAACTTCTACCCACCTCTACCAGCTTCAAACCTGATAGAGCCGGTAGAGAAAGGTAGAATCTACTCTTTTGAGTAGAAAAAAGGAACGCATCTACCGAAAAAGCTAGTTTCTACCCAAACCTGTAGATCTAAAATGAACGCCATCTTAGTCTTACCTCGTCATCACTAAGACCAGACACTGCAACAAACTGCTGAGCGAGAACGAAGGCGCATGGAACTGGTGATGCCAGCAGCTTGGAGAGGATCAAGAGGGCACTGCCGGAGATGACAGCGTCGTACTCAGCATCCAAGAACTACAACAGCAACACAAAGACGACAACAACAATAGTGGAGTTAGTAACAGCAGCAGCAACAGCAGCAGCAACGGCAACAGCAGCAGAAGTAACAACAGCAGCAGCAGCCGCAACGGCAACAGCAGCAGAAGTAACAACAGCAGCAGCAGCAGTAGTGCAGCTCGTGCAGGGTAATGCAGGGTAGTGCAGCCAGGAGATGCATGCCAAGCGCTTCCAGTCTATCTAGGACAAACATGCTTGTTTCAGATGCTACGGAGTAAGAGGGAGTGAGAAGACAAGATGTCAGACAGGTATAAAAAGAAGTTAGTCAGGGCGCTTCTCTCTTCTCCTGCTTGGGCTCACAATTTCAAGTTTGTCTTGTATCATTCTGATTAACCCTGTCACGGCGAAATTCTGTGATTACATCATTTTATGATTTTAGTATGTAGTGTGTACAAGCAGGATTCAAGCAGATCCTTCTCTGCACAACTACACACTACACCACTTCCCCCCCCCCCCCCCCCCCCACACACACACAAATCTGCACCAAATATGATGCAATCCCAGAATTTCGCCATGGCAGACACCCATGCAGAAAAAGTCAGAAGCTGCACAGTCTGGGTTTCATGTACTCTTGGTGCCGTAGTGTGCGTTACCTTGGCGATCTGAAACGCCACGGCGACCTGAGCACAGCATGTCTTGCCGGCATTGCTCCTCTCGGCCAGGTCCTGCAACAGACCGGTGATCTCCAGTGCTGCTGGGCCGTGGGAACGAAGCCAGTCGGCCATTACAGACTGCACACACACAACACACAACACACAGGGTAGGGACAGGAAAGACGAAGAAGAGGCGAAGATACTTCAAGACCAACGAAGCACAACGTTTTAAAGTCATAAGTTTTATGATAATGAGGGCGACGGTTTGGATGACGGCATTATGGAGAGGGGGGGGGGGGGCACAGAGGAATACAAGGGCGGGAGAGAAACACATCGGGAGAAGTAGGGGGGGGGGGGCAGAATACAGGGTGACACATGGAAATACAGGTGGAGGAGAACCGGGGGTGGTGGAGGAGGGTCAGTAAACTGAACACAAGATAAACTAACCAGAGAATTTCGTATTGGTGTTGTGTTTTATTATTTTATTTGGGCATTTCCAACAGACCCTAAGGTCTTCTTACAGGGTGGAATACGGGCATGCAAAAGGCACATGTCACTCGTACACACACGCACACATAACAGAGGTCGTGCAGAACAGTCTGTTTTACCAGTGACTCCTCATGGCATCATACCTGAGATCTAGTTCGGCTCAGTGGCGGTCTCCATGCCAACGCTTGTGAAGAGGAAGCGGAAGAGGAGGCGGATGAAGATAGACGGGAGCGGTTACGCAGCACATTGCCTTCGGGTGTGTCTGCCAGCTGGGATGATGTGGTGAGCTGTCGGACAAGACGTATGGCCGTCTAGAGCAAACAGACAAACAAGCAAGAATGATCAAGAAAGATTAGACAACTCCGCATGCATAAAGAAACACGATAGACCCACTACGCAACTGAGAACCATGTGCAGAGTTATGCACTCTGACTGGTGTACACTCGGTTTGGGCAATGGAGATACGGCTGTATGCCACACCACTGAGAACCCATATCCAGAGTTACATGTACACAGTGGCTGGTATATACTCTGGGTCTGGGCAATGGAGATACGGCTGTATGCCACACCACGGAGAACCCATATCCAGAGTTACATGTACACAGTGGCTGGTATATACTCTGGGTCTGGGCAATGGAGATACGGCTGTATGCCACACCACGGAGAACCCATATGCAGAGTTACATGTACACATCCTGATTGCTGTACAACACTGCTGGGTACTGAAGAACTGAGGGTCAGCCTCCTACTTCGAAGTAGACTAGACTAGACTGTTCTACTTTTCATGTACTACGGTCTATACAAGGATGGAGAGCCAAGGATTAATTGATAGCGTAACTTGTAGTTCCTTGGTCCTTTTTCTTCTACTACAGTCTATGCACAGGTGAGTCAGCACAGTACTGTCCAGTGCCGAAGAACGGAGCGACCAGGGTAGAATTTTACCAAGCACAGCAAGCAGACCAATGTATACACGGTCTGGGTGTTGGCGAGATACTGTAAAAGCAGAAATTTTCGGTGGTGTAATATTGTTGGTATTCTCCTATATCGGCGGTTCGGTAGAAGGAAATTTTCGGTAAAACCCGTTTTCCAGGTAAGTGTACTAGTACTAAATGTATACAGGACCGGTAGTACCGAAATTTTCGGTAAAAATTGTCGGCACCTAAGTTACCAAAAATAAAACACCACCGAAAAATTTCTGCTTTTACAGTGGCTGTATGCTAGCACGTCACATGTAGCAGGTCATCACAACACCAGTGTACACATGCATGCGTCCAGAGTGTATGTACGTACCAGCAGCAATTCCAGATCCGGCGATGCATGCCCGAACATGCATGCTACACTGCAGGCTTGAGTGAAGCGACGCGTTGACAGCAGGCGGTCCTGAATCACCTCCAAACAAGACAGCTCCTGCATACACAAACACACACACACACACATCGTAGAAGCAACAACAGAAACACACACACACACACACATCGTAGAAGCAACAACAGAAACAAAATCCATCGATGGTCGTGACTCGTGACATACTCTTGGGGAATATTCAGCATTCAGCGGTAAGGCATGAAAATAGGCTACAACTAACTATGTATTAACTATTAAAGTAACACTTCGCATAGCTCAGTGCTTAGAGCACCGCTGGTCATAAGCGAAGGTCGCCGGTTAGAGTCCTGGTAGGGACAGTCAACTTGTTTCTTCAGACTTTCCCCTTTCTCAATTCCCTCCACCATATGAACAACCCACGAACAGCAACGTGTTTCTCAAGCCTGATCCAGGGTCGTTATTTATAAAGTTGATTGCATTGGAGGTTCAGTCAAACATATATCTCCACTTATGGACAAAATAAGAAAGTAACAAACTAGCAAAACAGCCGCATACCTTGGAGTTGAGTGTATTCTTGACGTTGACAGCCTTAGCAAGAGCGCTACACCATGCCGCATAGGTCATGTCTGTGCGTAGCTTGTCTGCCCAGCCACGGCCTTCAAACAGCTGGCCTGCGTGATGCGACGTATCGACTACATACCATGTACACACACACACGCACATGCAGGAACACACGTATGCATGCGTACACACACACAGACAAAACATGAGTTGTATACATCAGAAGCATGATCACCGACTTCATGAGCCACAAACGGATGCTACACGTAGCTTGTACGAATACAGTAGAATGGGTGCGTACATCCGCCTATCTGCCCACTCACCCATCTGTATATGCGTCTCTGTGTTTGCACATGCCAGTTACTTGAAGAATCAAGAGTCCACAATCCCCCAGAGTGCGCAACTTCACTGATCAGATCTGGGACGGCGAAATCCGTGTTGCACGTCACAGTGTGACATCATCGCGTCGACAGAATGACGCAAGTCCGACCCAAAAAACGACGTACATCACGGATTACACCGTCCCACAACCCCATCCCAGTTGCACACTCTGGCCCGTGGGGGTTATGTAGTCTTGGCAGTATGTGTGCATGCGTTGTCAGCTGATTACACTCTACGGTAAGTACATGACTGTACTCAGACCCAGACTCAGGGCTGCAACAACAAACCGTATTCTCCGCAGTATAAGCCGCACTTCAAACACTCGTAATTCTTACCAAAAACAAGTTGGTGTGGCTTGCTACTACGATGGTCAACTGAACCATGATAACAGTAGATGTCTGTACTTTGTCAGAAAAAAACTTATACAGTCAGACCTCGCTTATCCGGTCCTCTTTTACCCGGAACCCCGGTCATCTGGAAGAAAATCGTTGGCTACCGATTTACAGCATATGCCATGCATACATCCAGTAACGTGTATTCAATTATCCGGTTCCCTCGCCTATCCGGATTTTTCTGTGGAAAACGGATGTGTGCGGTTAATTTAGCGAGGTCTGACTATACTCCATTGCGGCTTATAAGTTTGCCCGGAAAGTACGGCAACTTTGACCCACTGTTGTACAATCACTCTGTGTGCGTACGTACAATCACTCTGTGTGCGTATGTACAATCAATGTGTGTCCGTACGTACAATCACTGTGTGTGCGTATGTACAATCACTGTGTGTGCGTATGTACAATCAATGTGTGTCCGTACGTACAATCACTGTGTGTGCGTATGTACAATCACTCTGTGTGCGTACGTACAATCACTGTGTGTGCGTATGTACAATCACTCTGTGTGCGTATGTACAATCACTGTGTGTGCGTATGTACAATCACTGTGTGTGCGTATGTACAATCACTGTGTGTGCGTATGTACAATCAATGTGTGTGCGTATGTACAATCAATGTGTGTGCGTATGTACAATCACTGTGTGTGTGTGTATGTAGTATGTACGCGACCAGCATACCCAGTGATGGCGTGGTGTGTCGTATCTCCAACGCCTTGTCCTCCATCAGATCATCCAGTATGCGTGTGAGACTGGCGGAATCCATCGACCAGGACATCAGGGCTTGAGACGGGGCCAGCACCGGATTCAGCGTCTGCAGAAGGTCGTACGTGTGAGTGGAAAGTAATAGATACAACGTTACACACTCCGGGTAGTCGCCCAATGTTAGTTGGGTTGGAGACGGCCACAACAAAACTAGGAGTTGCTACTCTAAGTCTAACAAGGCTCTGAGTGTGTATGTGGGGGGAGGGGGGCACAATGCAATGCGTACATAATATTTTTGGGCGTGAAAACTACAAATTGCATGCAATCGAACGCAAGCACCCCCTCCTCCCGGTGTATGTGTAACCCGGGGTGAGGTAGTCTCGCTGGTATAAGCAAAGGAGTGAACCTCCATGCGTGCCCTCACACACACAAACACATGCACACGTACCCCACACACACATACACACACACATACACACACACACATACACACACACACACACACACACACACACACACACACACACACACACACAGTCAAAACCTTTACCTTTGCTGAAGGAGACATAGTAGAAGGAAGTAGGCTGTTGGAAACACTCTCGCGTTTCAGACTGGCTTGATCAGCTAGTTCGGCACGGATACGACACATCCACACCTACACAGGCCACCAGCACAAGCGATTACAGTACAAACATATTTATACCCGCAGTAGCAGCAATGGCCAAGGATCACCACCGACAAACGAACAAGCTCAGCTTGAATACCAAAAAAAGCCACAAGCCACAAGCAACAAGTAGTCCTCTCATGATTTTCTGCCATATCCTTTCCAATACAAAACAGTAGACCTTAGCCCTATTAAAAGAGGGATTCATGCCAAAATATCGTAAACAAATCCCATTGAAATAACATTATGTCGATGCGAAAAGAGTCCCCATGAGGTCAAAGCACATTGAGCACATCAAACTGTATAATGCACGCTCAAAAGACCCGGCTCATTGAGCACACCAAACTGTATAGTGTGCACGCTCACCTTCTGCTCGAGAGCGCGCACGTTGACCTCCTGAATGACCTGATCTTGGGCAGGCTGGTCGTCGTCGGCGCATTGTCGTTGCCAGTAGAGCTGCAGACACAGGATGTGTGCCACTTCCTTCAGCGATACGGGCGGTGACGGAGGCTCTGCGGCGGCAGCCAAGGTGAATGTGCTCGGCGGAAACTCACCGTCGTTGTCGTCATTGCCTCCGCCATCGCTGCTGCCCGTGGTGTTGGAGCTGCGTAGGCTATCCTCGTTGCCGGTGATGGTGCGCGTGCTGTCCGTACTGGTCTGGCGTGTGGTGGAGAACGGCGACACTCCGGCCGCTACTTGCTCAGCATCAATCTTATCAATTTCACACTGAGTAGGCAGACACAAAAGGGAGGTAAGAAACACACATAACAATTGGCACGGCTGCGGTGGAGTGCACAGCTGCGGTGGAGTGCACGGCTGCGGTGGAGTGCACGACTGCGGTGGAGTGCACGGCTGCGGTGGAGTGCACGGCTGCGGTGGAGTGCACGGCTGCGGTGGAGTGCATTGCAAGAGTGTGACCACAGTACAATGCACATGTACAGATGTTCACTATAGTAGAGGTGGAGTGGATTGCAGATCTTCACTACGGTAGAACACAAATATACAACAACTGGCATTGTCGAGGTGGAATGAATTGCAAGAGGGTGACTAGCTACTCGTACGTGTACATATGCAGATGCTCACTCTGGTAGAGCACAAAAACAGTCGACGGCAGGTGTACGATTTGGATAGCATGTACTTCGAAGAAACAGAGCAAGAGAAACACAAACTGAGAAACTAGCACAATGGTGGAACGTGCCTAGAACTGCAACCAGATTTTGCGGCACCCACCATGCACTATCTGTCGCGCACACCAAATGAAATCATGTATGCACACACATGTGAGAAGAGATACTCTAAAATCATCCAAATGGCCTCTTCACCGCTGCACACTACCTCGATATTCACCACACATGCCGGGGGGGGGGGGGGGGGCTGTGCACACTGTACATGTACACACCTGAAAGAAACGAGCAGGAATCTCCGGAGCGCTGGCATGCTTCTGGAAGATCTCGGAGCACTTGTGCCAGAAGCCGATGCGACGGTCCTCGGATTGCCATAGCGATGAGCGTCGCATGTCTTCACAGAACGCTGCCACCTGGTAGTGGAACACAACGGAAATAGTAACACAATATCCACACATACAACATGTATGATGTACATGTATGGTGATGAAAAACAGGGATTCACTGGCCAGAAAAAATGCCACTTCAATCAGCTGTGTGGTGTGGACCAGGCTGAAACTAGTCGTGGTCAATTCATCAGCCTTGCAAGCTGGTGAATGGTGTAATTCCAGCACAAGTTGCTATGTCTAACAGAGCTTGTTTGCTATCATCACCTCAGCGCTGGGCATGTGTGTGTAAGTGTGTAAGTGTAAGTATGATGAAACCTGCCATAAGTGACCATCAGTACTGTACATGCAGACAATTTAGTTGGTGAATAATGTCGTCCGACTCCAAACAAAGCGAGTTCGTCTATCTGGTCAAAACTTCCATCCATGGACCATGAAAAGTATTTAAAAAAACTGGACAAAATCAACATTAGTCCGAAAACTCCTTGGACGAAAAACGACGAAATTGAAATCCAGAAAATAAGATAATAATTATGCACAGTCATCCTGTAAAATCATGCATGTGCACATCATCCATGGAACAGTTTGTTTGGTTGATGTTGCATATTATCTTTCTTTTTAACCATTTTAACGCCGTCGTCTCCTTGTCGCCTTTTCATATATTAAAATCCGGGCGAATATTTCTGCTTATTTCTGTTCCCTACATAAGCCAGTGAAGCACACCGACCACCACACAGCACAGACGACTTACCTGACTGCGAGTGACGAGATCCACACCGACACGCACAAGCAGAGCGTACGACCGTGCCTCGGCAAAGAACTGGCCGTTCAGCAGAGCCTCGACGGCGCCCACCTGTGCAGGATTGTCAACAACGGACACTGTACACGGTGTGAACAGACCAGTTGTGCAGGCAGCGGTGGTGCCGGTGGTGGTGGTCGGGCGATGAAATACCGAAGTGGATGGTGTCGATGACGGGGTAACTGAAGATGACATGGATGACATTAGACGCTGCGGCAATGCCATGCTGACTGAATCACCGGCGGTGGCGGAGGTAGTGGTGGTGGCTGGTGGTGAGGGCAGGTTGATTAGTGCGGTACCGGCGAAAGCTAGGTCCGTGTTCAGCTGCGCGTTGTGCAGGATGCTGACCAGCTGGTGTAGGCGCGAGAAATCAGGTACTGAAGAAGAAAGATGATGACGGCCGGCACAAACATAGACACACACACACACACACAAACAAACAGACACACATACAAACAAACAGACAAACAAACAAACAAACACAAACACAAACAGACACATACACACAAACAGACACACATACACACAAACAGATACACAGACACACAATAGATTTGTATACAGCATTACATCACAGTGGCCTAAGCATTACATCACAGTGGCCTAAGCATTACATCACAGTGGCCTAAGCATTACATCACAGTGGCCTAAGCATTACATCACAGTGGCCTAAGCATTACATCACAGTGGCCTAAGCATTACATCACAGTGGCCTAAGCATTACATCACAGT